TACCTCCCATAAGCACTTGAATGGTATTGACATTATGCAAAAGCAAAAGTGTGGGGTGGTGGTTTAGTTTTTGAGTGGAACCGTTGAAATAGAGAAAAGGTGCAGTGTTTGGAAAAGTAAAAGAATAAGCACCACGAAAAAAAATGAGTAAATGTAGTAATCGATAAGTGGTGGTTTGTTATAATTTCACCTAATGGATGGGGTTGTTGTAAATAAAAAAGTGGTGGAGTGTTTGGTTGACACAAGTATGTTTTTGAAGATTAATGTAATTGTATTAAAAGTGCTTAGGGAGGTTAGTCACTATATCCAAATATATCTTACCCGTCCCTTAGCCTACATTATAACCAAGTAAAGCCCTATTGATCTTAGATTGAGTGGGCTCGATTATTAGAGTAGTACACTACGGGCAAGCCTATGGTGCATCTTTGTGGCATGTGAATGTTCTTTCTGAGAGTGAGCGAATTTTGTCTATCTAAGTTCCTAATTGTTCTAAGTATCTTTATATGTGTAACTACTCTCTTGTGTGATGTGAGGGTATGCGGTTCATGAAGGAAAGGTAAGTCTAGACTTCTGTTTAGAGTAGTTTGAGAAAGTATGAATATTGCACGGCATATGAGAGTCGACTTTTGGGGCGAAGATTGTTCACTACTAGGTGTAACTTATGTGATTTGTTCTTGGTGTGATATGTTAGGGAATAACACTTAGTGAATGGCCTCTATGTTAGAGTGTGGTAGATTGCTCGAGGACTAGCAATGATTTAAGTGTGAGATGTTGATAATAGGCTAGATTTATGTAATTTGGCGATTGTTTATGCCCCAACTTAATTATGTTTCACTGCTAGAATATAGTTAAATGATGTTAAATTGGCTTTAATTGTGAATTTCACACATTGCAGGAGTGCGTAGCATGTATGAGGACTTAAGACTATGATTGGAACTAAATTGAAGCAAGAAAAGCCCCTAGGAGCTGAGTACGTTGGAAGACGAAAGAAAAAAGTGATGAAATGAAGACCTAGACTAGTGCGGCCACTAGCGCGACCGTGCTAGCCCAGATGGTCGAGGCAGAATGATAGGGCATATGCGCTAGCGCGTCCATTAGTGCGACCGCGCTAGCCCAGTTTCGGAAAAGTAAATTTCAGGGGTAAAATTGGAAGTTCGGGGGCAAATCCACTTAACCTATAGAAGGTCTAGCTCACCCAAAGGAGGATTATTAAGGTTTTCATAGCTTAGTTCAAGGCAAGGAGAGGCAAGAGGCAAGGAGGATAATTCAACATCGAGTTCTTCCTTTCTTCCTTTTGTTTTTACAATTTATGATGAAATTGAATGTTGTTATGATGAACCCTAGTATGAGTAGCTAAATATTTAGTCTAAGGTTTTGATGGAACCTATTGAAGGATGAACTTCTTGTTGTGTTAATATAGTTTGCCTAGTTTAATCTTTATTTGTGTCAACTATGTTCTTATTGTAGTTCATTGATAGGATCCTCAATTAGTTGTGCCTATTTAGTGTGCATAATTCAGGAGAGAGTGCATATTTAGGTAATTATTGAACAACATCACTCCCAAAGTATATGAGGGATCAATAACTGAGGGATTAAAGGCAGAATTAGGGATAACAAAGCCTTGGGTGCAGTCTAAAGTGAGCTGTAACAAACAAAGCCAGCTAGCGTATCTCGGGAGAGTGCGTTTAGTAAATTATTGTGATTACTCGGGAGAGATTTACAGTAATAAGAGTGTTCATGATTGATAGAGACAATTAGGCAAATCTATGTGAACCATAACCGAAAGGGATTCCATCAATAGGGGAAATCATAACCTTAGAACTTTCTCTTAATTCTTTACAACTTAATCATAGTTAGTTTTCAGTTGCTTATTTACATTCATTCTTAGTTAGTAAAAACATCTTCAATTGTTATTCAGAACGTTTGGGAAGTTGATTCTGTAGAATTTAGTAAGTCTAACAAGAGTAATTGATAGGTTAATTCCTTGTGGGTTCGACTCTGGGCTAAATACTCAGATTATATTTGCAACGTCCGCGTGTCCTTTTTATAAGGCATAGTTGGGCGTGATCAAGCTCCCTCTGAACTTGGACACATAAGGGCTGGCACTTCCACACTGCACTCATCCCAATCTGGTTCCATAAACCTGGGTGTAAGCACTGCCCGGGGTTCTTTGATTCCCTTAGGGAACTCTGACACACCTAAGTCTGAGAAATGCTTTGAATCAATGGAATTTGAGGTGCTTTATTCCATAACTCAGTGAGGAAGTCAAGAATCAGGCTTCCTCTAGTTGTAACTTTTCTTTTGTACTTTTCTGATGCAATTCATTATGCAGTCTGTAATAATTTATAATAAACATTGAGGTTGGCTAGTGAAAAGGGTTGGGTAATTATACATGCTTAAGGGTAGAAATCATGTCTATAGGATCTGTTGTTTAAATTCTACATGTTTTGAGTTCTGCATTTTAGAAATCATGCCTATAGGATCTGTTTGTTTAAATTATGCATTTGTAATTCTGCACGTTAGATACCATGTCTATAAGACCTGCTTTCATTAAATTTCTGCATGTTCTGCATCTAAAAGGTATGCCTATAGGACTTGCTTAAATTCTGCATATTATGGTCACATTTAGATACCATGTTCCTAGGATCTAAATGGTTAAAATCAGATATCGTGTTCATAAGGTTAAGAATCAGTACTCCTTTTAAAAATCATGTCTATAGAAATAAAATGAGCAATATTAGACATCCTGCCTATAGGATCTGCAATTAATTTAAAATTCAGTCTATTCTGAACCAGTTTTAAACAACCTTCCTTCTTTATCTAACGAGGTTTAGAAAGCAAGTCTATAGGATCTCAATCGTTCATTTTAAAACTGTTACTAGTTTTCCACTTTCTGAATCAGTAATAGATAGCATTTCACTCAAACGCTTAGGCAAGCCTTAGGTGATGATAACAATAAAAATTGAATCCGCTTTTGTTAATTGCTACACCAGTAAGCAGACCTGATTCGTACTTCTTACCTGAGTTATGTAATAAACTAATCTGCTTCAATAATTAACTCCCAACGTCTTTAGTATTTTAATCAGACTTTAAAAGTATGTGCAAGTCATGCTATTTATGTGTTTTGTTTGAGGAGGTATGCATGAGCCTTTATCTGTTTACATGCTTCCCCCAACATGCAGTATTATATGTTTTGTATGTCGCCTTAGATTTTTACCTTTTGAAACCAAAATCAGCCTAGTATCTCTCCCCTTTAGGAATAATAGTCCTAAACTCCTTCGGAACTGATAGGAATGAGACGGGTAATAGCATGCAATAGTGATTGAGACCAATCTGCGCTTTAATACCTTAACGGGGCGGGAAGGGTAGATATGGATATGATAACCGGTGCGCTAATACCACGTATATCCCCTCTTTTGAGGAGTGTCATATCGGGTATCGCATTGATGTGATCCATATTAAATATAAACCTAGGACTCCTTTTTCCTTTATTTGTAAACTTCTTTTCAAAAACTCTTCTTTTAATTGTTTTTTCTCTTACGTGTTTAAATTTAAATCTCCTAATATTTGAGCTCATACTTGTCTATTTACTAAATTGCACAAATTCACAATCAACTGTATGGTCGGGAACCACACTAGTGGATCCTGAGGGGTGCCTAACACCTTCCCCTTAGGATAATTTCAAGCTCTTACCTTATCTCTCGTTGTTCAAATAACTTAGAATTGAACCATATAGGTGTCATAATGCACCTTAAATCATTAGGTGGCGACTCTTCAAATGCAAGCCCGGTTCCCAAAAGGAACGAGTTGTCCCATACCAAATGTCATAAACCCAATTTTGCAAGAAAAATGGGGCGCACCAGTATGAAGTACCGCTAAACCGGTGTGTAATCCGTTCTATCCTGGAAGGAAATAATCTTAAATATCGGGTATTAGGAGGGGATTAAGTTCCTTGAGTAAACACTGTAAATTCAACTGGTTCAGACTAATTTCTGCTTCTTCTAAACTTCTGTTTTATATTATTTTTCTTTCCATAATTATTTTACGAATACAGTTTTTTAATCAATTCCCGGACAAGTCAAGGTATGAAAGATCATTGAATGGGCAATGTGGCATACTACCATCTGTAATATCATTTTTGCTTGGATTTAGGGTGTGTTTGGTATGAAGGAAAATATTTTTTAATTTTCCCACGTTTGGTTAGATTTAAAGTTTTGAAAAACATTTTCCTTATGAACTCATTTTCCTAATGTNAAAGTTTTTTTACTAGTTTTTTTTTGTAATTTCAAATTTCTATTTTTTCGTTTTTCTGCACATACACCCCCCTCCTTCCCCCTCCCCCAGGAAAATATATATATATTCAGTTTTAGTTTTTTCATCTTTCGGTTTACATGTGCAAAATTTTACAAGTTTCAAAGTTATTGAGTTTGGATGTTTATGTGTTTGGACGTTTACGGGTTTAGAAATTATAAAGGTTCAAAAGATCGCGGTTTCGAAAGTTCGTGGTTCGGAAGTTTATGAAATTTGTGGGTTGTTGGTTCGAAAGTTTATGGCTTAATGTTTATTATATCTAAATTATATATGAATACTCTTGAGAAGTTATTTTCCGTAATTTGCCTACCAAACACCGGAAAATGAATAAGATTATTACTTGTTTTCCAAATAAACAATTTCTTGAAAAACATTTTCCACGGAAAACATTTTCCGTTATACCAAACACACCCTAATCTCCGGATATTCTTTAGTCTACACGCTGCTACATGAATTCATTTTAATGTGTTACAACAAAACCAAGATAAACACTATTTGCCTAATAAAAATTAACTAGCTAGGCAGGCTGCAGCAACGTAAAGAACTAAGTTAATCACCTTTAATTTGTGCCTACAGGTTCAATGGTCAAAATATATTTTATTCATCATATTTGTCGTTCACTACTTGGTTTGCTCTGAGTATACATAAACTCTGAAAACGTTAATAAAAAGCTAAATTGATTCTTCAAATTCAAGGTAAACCAACTGCCTTTATATTGAACAATGCTAGAACAAATTTCTCAAATTTTTTTCTTTATTTATTATTTTTCCAAAAACAAAAAAACACAGGTAGAGTTCAAGACTCGGAATTCAATCGGTCAAGTGCCTCTCGAGCAGGAGCAAAATTGGGCTGAATTTTTAGGGCTTTTTCATAAACCTCTTGGGCCTCCTCCTTTAAGCCCTTTTTCTCATAACAATCGCCCAACAAATAAAAAGCCTTAACATTATCGCCCTTCAACCGAACTGACTCAGTCAAATCTTCAACGACCGAGTCAACTTGTCCGCGTCGACTCACCGCANTTTTTCTCGTAACAATCGCCCAACAAACAAAAAGCCTTAACATTATCGCCCTTCAAACGAACTGACTCAGTCAAATCTTCAATGACCGAGTCAACTTGTCCGCGTCGACTCACAGCGAGTCTCAACTCAGCTCGCTTAAACAAAGCATCCGCTTTCTCCGGCTCCGACAGCGACTTCACGGCGAGCGGCGAAAGCGCGATATCAATCGAATCAAGAGCTGACGTCTTAAAACCTTGTAAAACGAGAGCTAAAGCCTTGAGTATGTGAGCCGCGGCATCTCTCGGGTCTAAAGCGATGGCTAAGTCAGCTTCGGCTTCAGCAGATTTGGCTAAAGAAGCGGCGGCGGATCGATCCTTGGCGAATGTTGATTTGGCTTGGGAAAGAAGCTGAGCTCCTTGGACGAAATGGCGCTTCGCTTGCATATCGGCTCGGTTTCGTAGACGAAGCTTCGAGAAGAATTTCTGGGGAATATTGTACATGAAAAGGAACATGAAAACTGTAGCTAGAATTAGGACTGCTTGAAGTAGAAGATCACGCCACATGTTGTTGTCGGAGAAATCCATGGTTTTCGGTTTTCTGGATTTCTGAGGATTTTTCGATCGGGTCTTAAAAGGTTGTAAGTAGCTTTTTGCAGGCGGAAGTGGGTGTAGTATCTTTGGCCTTAGTATTTGTACCTTTAGCTGCTGGTAGCAAAATTTCTTTTTTTCTTTTAATATATCTTTTATTTTGTGCTTGTAGTCCCAGAAAAAGTAAGTTCTTATAATATCGAAAAAGGCCAAAACTGCCCCAACATTATCATTTCTGCCTTTATGACTTGAATTAAAAAAAAATTATTTAAACTCCATGTGTCATGTTATTATTGGTCCAATTTAATTAAATAAATAAATAAGAACCAAAACTATCCATGAACTATTGGCTAGGCCTACGGCCAATGAAGTAGGGATGATTACCGCCAGGGGTTCAAAAAAAAGAAAAGGTTAAAAAGATTGTAGTGGGAACATAACCAATAATTTTACAGAGATTTTGAATCCCCTTGACCACTAAGTTATGCTTTTGGACGTGTCAAGGGGATTCAATACATAATATATAGAGGTAAAAGACAAATTTTGCCTTACATATACAATATAAGTTTTCGATGAAAGGGTTCGGGTGAACACCCTTCCACCCCTGCCTAGGGCTAAATATCACCTTAGTCCATCTATCAGTTAAAAAAAAATTTTTTAGTGAACACACAGATGGTCAATCTAGGTCTTAGTATTAAAAAGAATACAGAAGAGGGAGAAAGTAAAATGAAAATGGCCGATAAATAATTTTTCCGATGAGATTTTATGTGTTCCAGATGGGTTAATTATTGGGATCGGGTAAGTTAGAAAATCGGATACTATGCCCTGGCCAATAGTTCAAGGACAGTTTTGACCATTTTCCATTTATTTAGTTGAATTGGACCAATAATAAATAACAAGTTGAATTTAAATAATCTTATTTTAATTTAAGTTGACTGTTAGTCACAAGAGCAGAAATGAGCCCAAAAGATAATGTTGGCAGTATTTTTGGACCGATATGTGGACAGAAGGTATATTTGTCCCTTAGCCAATAGTTCAAGGCCAGTTTTAGCCCTTTTCCATCTTAATATTAAACTGATGCGACAAAGTTTTTGTAACACTCCTCAAATTTATATAAATTTCAAGACTTGCTAAATATAGAATTTAATTTTTTTTTATCTTGCCTTGAGTGCACAACAAAAAAAATTATTTTTTTTTGTCTTCTTTATGGATTTAAACCATTGNATAAATTTCAAGACTCGCTAAATATAGAATTTAATTTTTTTTATTTTGCCTTGAGTGCACAACAAAAAAAAATTACTTTTTTTGTCTTCTTTATGGATTTAAACCATTGTGATTGATTTTTGAGTTACTTCCCTATTTATATAAATAGTTGGATATATAATTATGGGAATATTAATAGTTTAATATTTCTAATTATTAAAAGTGGGTATCATTAATTATTAATTAAGTAAAGAAAAAAAACAAATAACAAAAGAAAATGGGAGGGACATTACTAAGCCCATAAAGGGCTGTTGGAATAAAAAAAGGCTTAAGGCCTTAAAAGCCTAACCTTGGACGTAAAGGAGATCCAAAGAAAGAAAATAGCAGGAGTAAAAATTCGCATAAGGAACAGAACGATGTTCTGTTACGCAGCAAATACAGGCAACAAAAAGAAAATCGTAGGGTTCTTTACAAACCACTAATTCTTGAATTCAGTTATATAAAATTCCCTATTGTTAATTATCTTACAGTGGTAATAAGTATGAATTGAATAGTTAGTTACCTTCTTTCTCTGTATCAATAGTAAATTTCATGTTTAGGTAAGAAACTATAAAATTGATTAAAATGCACTGGTTATTGTAGAATCGATTGTTTGACTGGTGTCAATTGGACTGTGGTCTACGTATTTGCTCGAGAAGTTTTGAGGTGAGTTGATACAACCCTTTACTAAAGTGGTTTAACTCACAAAAGCACGCATACAAGGTGTTTGATGAATTGCTTAAAAGAGTTTATATTTACTTAATTGGAGCGAGTGAGTACCTATTAACTTAGAATTATTCTAGCAAAAGTTTAGATGATTTATTATGATATATGTGCATAAATTTTCAGATTATTGTGTTATTCTTATATGCTATTTTCATGTTGAAAATTTATGAAGAAGCAAGAATCTTTAGAAATACTTTTATATGTTTATTTCATTCTTATGCTATGATTTACATTTAAGGATACCAGTATGGGCATGTACATGACGTTCTATAAAGAAAATATTTAGACTTGAAAAGTCACAAGAAGAAGTTTTAGAAAGAAAAGATTTTTGGGAGCATCCTTTATTCTGAGAAGGGGTCATCGTCCAGGCCGAGGGTCCTGACCAAGGCGTTGACTTCCTGAAACTACTTGTGCCAAAATAGAGAGCACACGAGTCGAGGGTCTCGTTGCTGAGAATTTACTTAGCCATGCTAAGGTATGATACAGGAGCGCTGAGAACCATGAAGCGATTGACACCTCGTGGATTGGGCCTATTCAATCAGGTTGAGATCGAACCCGTGCCGATCACACGGTGAATGAGACAGAATTAAGTCAGGATAGTTGGACCTCAAAATATAAAGTAAAGTATTTTTTATAAGAAAAAAAAAAGAATTTCTTTTAGAATATTCATAAACTACTATTATGCAATTATTTAGAATTATTTTTATAAGCTTTATGTTTTACATGCATTTAGAACCTTTTGTTTGCTTTTAATTGAATTCTGTGTCGCCGAGGCCTTGAAAACCTCATTTATAGCCGCATCGATTTGCGTGCGTAGTCCGGGAACGTATCCGGAAAGCTTAAATATGAATATCTGTAAAAATAATAAAAATTTGGTTATAAAATGAGTAAATTTGATTTCGGTCAATATTTTGGGTAAACGGATTCAGACCCGTAATTTGACGGTCCTGGAATGTCTGTAGGAAAATATGGGACTTGGGCGTATGCCCAGAATCGAATTCCGAGGTCCCGAGACCGAGAAATGAATTTTCAAAGAAAATTATTTTCTGAAATTGTTTAAGGAAATTTGAAATGAAATTTGATTAGAACATGTTAGTATCGGGCCCGTATTTTGGTTCTGATGCCCGGTACAGGTCTTATATATGATTTAAGATGTTTCTGTGAAATTTTATGAAAAACGGATGTCATATGACGTGATTCGGACTTAAATCGCAAAGTTGATGTTTAAAGAAGTTTTGAGAAGATTTCATTGATGTCGAGATTTAATTTGATGTTCGTGATGTTATTTTGATGATTTGATTACACGAATAAGTCTGTAGGATGTTTTTGAGGTTTGGTGTGCGCTTGGTTTGGAACCCAGAGGGCTCGGGTGAGTTTCGGGTAGGTTCTGGGATGCCTTAGGCCTAAAAATACAGTTGTGGTAGATTCAGAGAAGTTGCAGGTCTCTGAACCCGCTAGTGCGGTCCGCACAAAAGCGTGTGCGACCGCGGAAGGGGGCCAGTGCGGTTCGTGGTTGGCTTTGTGCGGTGCGCGGTGGAGGCCTGTGCGGTCGCAGTCCATTTCGTGCGGTCCGCACAGGGCACTGGACCGCAGTACCCTCAGGAAGGCCTGTGCGGCCGTAGTTCATTTTGTGCGGTCCGCACAGNGTGTCCTATTTGCTATTTGTTTCTTGTTGAGTACGACGTATAGGCATGGTGACGAGTATCTATGTGTTGGTGTCAAGCATAACTGTGAGTCTTATATTGTGATTTTCATGATCTCGTTGTATTATTCATGCCTTGGTGAAGATTTCTATTTGTTGTGCAAAGTTGTGAAAAGAATTGTGACCTATGAACATTGAGGAGCGTTGGCTCCAGTTGTATAACGAATTGTGAAAGTATAATTGATAATCGAAACTCTAGAACATTGGTTCGAGTTGTGAAGTGAATTGTGAAGTAAAAGTGAGAAAGAAAAGAGATCAGTATGTTGCCCCTTTGCCGGGCTATTGTTGAGTTGAGGTTTCCTTGCATTGTGTTCTTAATTGATATTACTGACGCTTAGGTTATTGATTCTTTGTGCTAGGTGTTGAAACCAGTTGGGTTATAGTTAAGATAGTTAGATGTTGGAACAAGTTTGGTTAAAGTTGTTTCTCCCTTGCCGGGACATATATACTTATACTGTTGAGTTCCCTTGTCGAGATGGTGTAGTCTATTGTTGATCCCTTGTCGGGACAGTTAAGNTATATTGGATCGGGTTGCACGCCGCAACAGATATTATATTGGATCGGGTTGCATGCCGCAACAAATATTATATTGGATCGAGTTGCACGCCGCAACGGTTATATATGTGGATCAGGTTGCACGCCGCAACAATGTTAAATGATAAGGGATCGGGTTGCGCGCCGCAACAGTATTGTTATTGTATTGTTGTAGACATCGAGCGTTCTTTCATACTTTATTAAGTTTCTGTTAGAGTTTGTTGTGTTTCCCTGAAGCATGTTTCCCCCCTCCCCTCTTAAACTGTTATTTCCTGTTTATATTTCCGTTGTATATTAGATAACTGCACAAGTTTATCTGGAGTCTGGTCCTAGCCTCGTCACTACATCGTCGGGGTTAGGCCAGGCACTTACCAGCATATGGGGTCAGTTGTGCTGATACTACACTATGTACTCTGTGCAGATACCGGAGCAGTACTTGGTCAGCAGTAGTTGGCGAGCCAGCCTTCAGCCCACCGAGACTCCGAGGTAGCCCTGCAGGTGTCCGCAGGTCCGACATCTCTTCTATCAGTTTTTAGGTTCTGTTATCATTTGTACTCGAGACAGACCATGTTCTTTTCTTTCAAACACTTATTTGTAGTAATCATCGATAGTCTGTGAATGTTGTGACACCAGTTTCTAGATAGAGGCATATGTGGAGTTTCTTATTATTTTGGTTCAATTTATCTAATTCTTCCGCTTAATCTCATATTCCGCTATTTAAATGTTGTTATATTGAAATTGTTAATGAATATAAAATGGGTAAAAAGGTAAATTGTGCAATTGATTGGTTTGCCTAGCTCGTACTAGTAGGCGCCATCACGACTCCCGAGGGTGGGAATCCGGGTCGTGACACCTTTGCTCATAATGTATATGTTATTAAAGTTTCGCCCCCTCCTGTTGAGACTCACTGAGTATAATGGATGGTACTGATATTCTCTTTTGGGAACCTACGTTGGTCTGCAGTACAACGTAAGAACCGGATTTGCAGGCAAGCAGGCTACGAGTTAGGACT